AGGTGACCTGATTTAGAATCCCAAAACCAGTGGCGGTAAAGGCCCCAAAGCCCTGTGCACGTAGGCTTTTGAAATCACCTTCTCCCCACCCGGCTGTCTGCCAGGTGCCGCTGCAGTCCAGCTGTGCTCTCCCTCCGCTGGGGCCGGCCTCCTGCCGGCCGGCTCACACAGCCTCACTCAGGCTCCCTGCCTCCAGGCCTGTTAGTTTTTTTTTTCCTTAGTGGGGGTCCTGGGGGTTGAACCCAGGACCTCGTGCAAGCTGAGCACGCGCTCCGCGGCTGAGTTTTACCCGCCCCTCCCTCCGCCTGTTATCTCTGATGAACCTGTGTTTCCCTCCAGCAGCAGCTCCAGCTAAACTGTCGGACGGGTGGTGGTGTAGATACGATTCCATTTCGTGTGGGTTTGATGGAGCCCAGAAAGCTGTGTCGAGAAAGCTTCTGAGGCTGAGTCTAGGGTCGGCAGGAAGCAGTGCCCTGACCAATAAGCGATGCCTGAGACAGGCCCAGCGTGGGGCACTGCGGCTGGACGCCCTGGGTGACCAGCACCCCTTACCCAGCAGGGCCACCTCTGGTACGGAGGCCAAGCCCCCATTTCCCCCATGACCCCTGCACCTAGCACAGTGCCTGGCACAGAGCTGGCATCAGTATATACTGGGAAGGAGGAAAGGAAGTCCCCTGCCCCCTCAGGGTCCACCCCCGCTGTCCCTTCAACCCTGTCCCAGAGCCAAAGTGGACACACTTGCAGTGCGTGAGGCAGCGCCGCGTGTGTCTAGCGTGGCTCTCTTGGCATTTCTGCACTGGGCAGGTCTTCTGCACACTGAGGGCGAGCACAGAGCTTGTCAACACAGCACGGGGTCCCTGTCTGAAGGCCCCTGGGGTACAGATTGGAGGAGTTTATTCTGAAGTTACTGGGAGGCATGGCCCACCCCTCTCTGGGGAGGTGGGCTGGGGCCCTGCCCCCCCCCACAAGGATGCTGATGGCAGCAGAAGACTAGACAGCCTCAGTGGTCCGTCCCGCTTCACGTGTGGGTAACGCCTGGTTAACGCCTGGTTAACGCCTGGTTAGTGCAGATGCCCACAGCATGGCAGGCCTCTCGGTCACCGTCACATAGGAAAGGAGGCGGGGCCGTGAGTACAGTGCCAGGAGCGGGGCTGCCGGGGTCTGCAGGACGTCCGTGGGGGAGCATCTCCTGGGAGTCAGCAGATGTGGGCGAAGGTCCTCTGGGGAAAGGAGGGCAGCCTGGGGGTCGTTTGGAGCTTTTTTTTTAAGCTGGAAAACCTCCTTTTTTATATCCAAAGTGACGAGAGCTCTGTGTTCTGTCTTCGTTCAGAGCTTTTGTTGTTTTGTTTTGCTTCGTTTGGACCACGTGCAGGTCTTACCTCTTCAGTTAAAAAGAAGTGGGCGCAAGAGGAAGCCTTTGGGCTCTCGTGTCAGGCCACCTGGGTCTGGGTTCTGACTGGCACCTTCCAGCTCTGCAGGAGACCATGCTGAGCTCCCCTGCCCTCAGCTGCCTGTCCTCAAAGCCAGGGACAGCGAGGACAGATCCGGTCTCTGCATAGGGCGGTGGGCGAGGCTGACGCCGGCCTCCCGCTGTGGAAGGCGAGACTCAGCTGCTTCCCCTGTGCTCACAGCTCGAAAGACTGAGAAACAAGATCATCCAGGCTGCCTTTAACGCCGTCGGGGTCAAGTCCTTGGCCACAGAGATCTCTGACAGTGACATCCTGGAGGCCCTGCAGGTACATCCGGCTCGGAGGCCAGAGCTCCTGGATCTGCAGCTGGGGGCGGACGGAGAAGCCCCCCATTCTCGTCCTAGAGCGTTTCCCTTTCACTGTAATCCCAGAACGGCCCTACCTCTCTGCTCAGACAGAGGGGACTAGAGCTCCCTAAGGGGTGGCAACGTCACAGAGCTGCTCCCAGCACTCAGCCGCCAGCAGCAGCTGCTGCAAGCCCACAGGTGCAGCAAGGAGCGGGCCAAGCTGCTGCGTCCTGGACGTTCTCACGCAGCAGGAGCCCGTCCCCATGCTCTGCCCGGCTCAGCCTCCTCCGAGGATGCTTCTTTGCCCCTCGGTGTGGCCGGGAGACTGGCATGGCCCCTCCCTGGCCTCAGGTCACGGCAGCTCCTCACTGACAAGCAGAGGCCTCAGAGGGGCCGGCAGGAGTGAGTCACCACCCCCTGGACTTTGGCTGCAAAGCTGTGGGCCTATCACTTGACTTTGCTGAGCTGCAGAGCCCTGCTCTGTACACGGGCGAGCGTGCCTGTCTTCCAGGCATCGTGGGGCCGAGAGCTCTGGGAGGAAGGCACCCAGATAACAGACGCTCTGGGGGGGGGGGGCTCACATGCTTCTCACTAGGGCTGCCTTTGTCCCCAAGCCCCAAGCCTCCTCCAACAGCTCTTGACCCCAGCAGCTGCCCATGACCTGCCACGGGCCCACATTTCCCTGGGGCCTGGTTCCTGTCCTGTTAGGTGGGGCCTGCCCCACCTGGTTAGTGGTGCTCCTGAAGGTGGCCACAGCCCTCAGGGCAGAGGGGGACCCCTGCATGGGCATCTGGGGAGAAGTCTCTGTGGCCTGGCTACTGTTGTTTGTGGGAGAGGAAGAGGGAGGAGGGGGAGAAGGC